GGAACGCCGATGTTGAGTCATGTTCCCTGTCGGAGTGAACCCGTCCAAAAATCCGGGTGATGCTGGCAACTCATACTTCTATCGCCAAGGGACTCACTGGCATATTTGTCTAGTGTGACAAGCCAGCGCGTGAGAAATGGCAAGGGTTCCTAAAGAAAAAATTTATATGAGCTACTGTTTTTTTGAATTTTTTAACTTTCTTCTTGGTGAATTCTTTGATAAATTTTTTTTGGTGTTAAAAGAATAAAAGGAATGGTAGAATTTATATAATTATCTTATTGTTTATTGCTTTATTTATTTGGAAAAAAATTTTTTAGAATTTATAGAGGAACGAACTGCATAACTTAAAACTGTCAAAACAAAATTGCATTGATTAATCAAACGCTTTTATAAAAATTTTTCTCCAAGTCGAAAAATTGAAATTGTTTTTAATGGCTAGTAATTTAATTATTACTGATAATTTACGTAAGATTTATATAGATTTGCTGATAAAAAACATTTATCTCTAATCTACAAAAGGAATCGTTTATCGATCAACAAAAGGAAAAAATTCAGTGAGAATAAGGAGAAATATTTTTTTTTCTTTGCTCCGATCGAATTTTTATCGCTTATTTCGTTACTGCCATTTGTTGACTCCATCGTCTTTATTGTCGTCGTCGTTGTCAATCGATTTGTTGTACCGTCGGCTAGCTAAAATTAAATCTTTATTTATTTTTTGTTTATTTTTGCATTTTTCTTCATTTATCTTATTTTCAGAGAGAAACGATTTTTTTATCGATTGAATTTGGGTATTTTATTAAACGTTTGACTGAAGGTGTTTCGATCTTTTTTTCTTCAACTTATTTATAATTATTTAAAACGGGTTATAAACGCTAATTTTTTTGATAGAAGTGATTTCTGAAAAATTCGCAACAATGAAAATGAATTTATCCGATAAACAGCGCGATGAATTGTAAGTTTTGCTTTTACAAGAGATTTAATAGTTTAAAACTAAAATCCGATAAAATAATAAAAATTGAATGATCTTTCGCCCCATATTACAATTATAATGATTAGCTTTCGCAAATTTTTATGCTTTTGATGAATCAATAATGAATGAATAATTTTCTTAAAATTTAGCTTATTTATGCGTAAACTTTTCTCTTTGCAATTTTTTTCATGAATTTATTTTTCTTTTTTTTTTTAAAATCTTCTTCGGAATCAAATTCAGTAAATAGTTAAATTTGTAATCAGACCTCAAAACCAAACATATTTTTCTAATTTTTTTAATTGGTAGATGGTTTTTTCATTGAGAAAACAGTTTCTGTCTGTTTTAAATGACAGGTAAAATGGCAGGCATTTAAAAAAGCAACCGATACTTCTTCTAATGACTCTCACCATTACTGGTTAGGCTGGTTCCACTGGCTACAAGAGTAAAACATTTTAAAGGTATGCGATCTGATGCCATCGTCGACAATAATAGAAGCCCTTCATTTTTCCATCAATTAAGTACATATATTTCTGGTGCACTTATACGTTCAAAATCTTTCCTGACCGTATCAATCCAGGTCTTGATTGGATCACCTCGCTTTTGATACCACTCATCACAGGGTTTAACAAGTAACGAAATTTGTGTGAACTCTTGTGGTGGGCCACGAAGAATGTGTCCCTAACCAGCGAAGGCGACGAACGGTGATGATCCTGTTAATACAAGTTGTATTTGAACGAAGGTGGATGCGATCATGTGAGATTTTTTCCACTCACTTCCAACGTGAAATGTACCTCAGACATGAGTGGTTAAAGGCAGATAAATTGTTGTATCTTCCACTGTCATTGGCCATTGGCCATATCTCGCAGCCATATAGATAGATCGAACGAATCACGACTATATAGATGCGGACTTTCGTTTTTATAGTGATTTTAATACGGCTCCATAAAGGTCTCGTCAACTGGAAAAATGCATTTTTAACTGCCGTAATCCGAGTAAAATCGTTTTTTGCCTGGCCGACTGGTATTAGAGTGGATCCAAGTATTTGTCCAAGAATTTAAAATCAGGCACTTCAATTGGCAATGAATTTATAAAAAGAGGGATTTTATCAGCTTCTTGTGTATAAGATGAAAAGTCTTTCGTTTTATTTATATTGACTCTGAGTGCGATTCTCGTGCAGCTGCTGATGCGTTGTTTAGCATTATTTGCATTTCATCATAACTTTCAGCAAAAGGGACTACATAATCAGTGTATTCAAGATCGTGATACGCTGTTCTGCACCGATTTGCACACTTTTTGAGTGTCTAGTGATATACTTTATCCAGTCGGTCGTGTAGTTGAATATTGTAGAGGGAAAGCCTTGATGGATACCAGGACACCAGTCCTTATTACGAAGGAGCATATCAGTTTTTTATAAACATAGACTATGTGCGCTGAGAAAATTCCTTTATGATTCATTTGATCTTCTCTCCATCATGTTCCATCACCTTCCAAAGCGTTATGTTAATTAAGCCTTATGTTAAGCGAAGAGAAGGTAGCTGCAAAATCGATGAAAAATGTGACGGTGAATGATGGATTATAAATATTTGAAGCGATGTTCTAGCACTCTTCTTAATGTGAATATCTGGTCACCACGGCCCAGTCTAAATCCAGCTTGATTAGGGTGCATCATTCTGTCCCGTATTTCCGTAAGTCTTTTAAGTGAAAGATAAGCAAAAATTTTTGCTGTGACGTCTAATTGGTTGATTCCTCGATAATTGTCGCAGTATATCCTATCATCTTTCTTGAAAATTGGAAGCAAAATTGTTTTCCTCCAGTCATCTAGTAATATTTCTTTTTTTCATACTAGAGAGTAATTCGTTGAAGGTGTGTTATGAAGGACGATGGACAACATTTGAAAAGTTCAACCCGATGACCATCTTCTCCCGCAGTCTTATTGGGCTTAAGATTAGCCTTAAGATTATGGATAACGGAGACTATTTCTTCTTCTGTCTTCTGTCTTCTTCGGGGGCTCGCAATTTTACGCATATAGTTCGGCGAACCTATCAGTCGTATCAGGGAGAACAGATAGCGCTTCGTGGTTAAGTTTGGCATCAAAAAATTCTTTCCATCTCATGTGGATGTCCTTAATCCTTAATACTCTTGACCTATTGCTGTCCCTTACTGATTTCATTGATCGTTCCCCGAGTTGCTTTATGAAGGAGGCGGTGTAATTTCCTGTTATCGCCTAATCGAGCCGCCATCTCCATTTTTGAGGCTATGTCACTCCAGTAGTGATTTTTGTCTCGCCGTGCTTCTTTCGTTGCAAATCTTCGAAACAGCCTGTTGTCAGGATCTGATATTCGTGCTTAGGCAGCTTTTTCAGGCAGTTGAACAGTTACTTCCGATACCCAACTAGCGCGATTCCTATGTCCTAGAATGCCTTAGCGTGGAAGTGGCCGACTTTCAGATACATTCCTTTAGTTGAGACCAATATTTGCCATTTCAGTAAAATAAATATATATACATAAATGCTCCCCGAATTTTTTAATTGAGATTTCAAAAATCTTGTGAGATATTTTTTACGAGTTGTCAATTTTATGCGGATCTTGGCTCGGACCGTAACATGAACAGATCCCGGTAGTCAGGATCGCCTGACATTCGTGCTTTGGCAGCTTTTTCAGACAGTTAGACAATTGCTCCTGATACCCAACTAGCACACTTCCTAATAGTATGCCCTAGTGTTAAAATGCCTGACTTTCGGAAACATTCTTTTAGTTTGGACCAATATTCATTCTTTTAGTTTGGACCAATATTCATTCTTTTAGTTTGGACCAATATTCATTCTTTTAGTTTGGACCAATAGCCGTTCAGAAGAATCATTGATATTTGTATCATTGAGATGTTTCAATAATTCGATTTGAAATGCACTCACTGTCCCCGAATTTTTTAGTTCGAGATAGTTGAAGGACCTTGGGGTATGCTGTTTTCAAGTTTTCAATTTTATGAGGATCTTGGCTCAGACCATAACATGATCAGATCCATGAAGATTGTCTGTTCCAGAGCCGCAATGGGAATAACTATCTAGCACGGAACTCTTCCAACGGCGATTGACTAAAATACAATAAGTCGGGTTGAAATGTTGGTTATCCGGGAAGTTTCATATAATGAAATGTTTGCTACGATGCCGGAAGTATTAGCAAGTATTGGTAACGGAGAGTTCATGCTCTTCGGCATAGCGAAAAAAGCGTTCCCCATGGCGCGCCATTCTGCGATGTTATATTTGCTAATGATCGAAGATCGCAGCGGCATCATACGTGCGCATTCCATTTTCATCAGATTATGGCCATTTTATGTTTCGATAGAGTCTTTGTTAACAGTTGAATTCCGCATAGAACTTATCCTGATCAGTTGCCGACAGAGTTGGAGTTGGAGCACTGATGACCGAGGTATTAGAATTTATCTTTAAAGCGAGCATAGGCCATATGGTTATTTACCGCCTTCCACTCAATCAGAGCGGAATGATCCTTGTCAGTTGATATGACAGTTGCTACGCCATTTCGCTCCGAGTTACCCGAAACATAATTTTTCTAATCGATAGATTGAATTTTTTTAATTGATAGATGGCTTCTTCATTAATAAAACAGTTTTAAAATGGTAGATTATGTTTAAAAAGTAAACATCACTAAAATACAGCTCTGAAGCAATGCCGATTTTGTTTTAATTTGTAACGGTAATAGTTAATTTTTTTATTTTCGAGAGAAACTTTCGAGTTTTTTGATTATTTTTGAATGAAGACAAAACCGATTAGATCATTGATTGTAACGCTGAAATTAATAACTATTATTATTAACTGTGTTTTATCATTAATTTACTAATGATTAACAATTATTCATTTTAAGATCGTGAATTGATTTTTTTTTTTATTGTGAATTCCCTATTTGTTTGAAAATAATATTTTTTTGAAATTCGTCCATTTCTTGAGTGAAGATTTGCAAAGAAATAAAAAGGTCACTTTTTTAAAAAATCCTCATTGATTTTTTATTTTTAAAGGAATCGTGCGGTGGCGGATTATCTTTTGTCGTACGGTTACCGCGATACGTTAGGTGCATTTTTACGAGAAACAGGCTTGGTTAGTTAATTACAACTCACGTATTTACTTTTCGTTTTTAATAGTTGTTTGCTTAGATACATTTATATGCTCCACTTTTGTGAATAAATTTTTATATATTTACTTTGTTTACGAAAATAATAGATCTCTTTTTTTTATCTTTATATCTATTTTGGTCTATTTTGGTGAAGTAAATAAAAATAGGATCGAAATTGCTGATTTTTTTTCTTCAAATGATTTGAGAATTTGCTGGTTTTCTTACTGAATGTTAGAAAATATTCTATTATTGAAAATATTGAATTTAGATAGAAATTGATGATAAGAAATCAACTGGTCTTCTGGAAAAGAAATGGACGTCAGTTCTGCGGCTGCAGAAAAAGGTTCTCGATTTAGAAGCAAAGTTGCATGAGGCCGAGAAAGAATATATTCATGGGGCTCCTACGAGGTTTTTCTTGTTTTACACTAACTTTTCCTTTCATTTCTCTTCTTTTTAACCTTTTTTTGATTTCAGAGATAAGCGGCAACCAGGAGAATGGATTCCTCGGCCTCCTGAGAAATTTAGCTTATCGGGCCATCGTTCCCCAGTAACACGAGTCGTTTTTCATCCCGTTTATAACATTATTGCGTCATCTAGCGAGGATTCAACTATCAAAGTATTACGATTTGAATTTCAATTCCTCATTTTACATTTTTTGTCAGTTTTTAAATTATGTTTCATTTTGCTATTTAGGTTTGGGACTATGAAAATGGAGAATTTGAGCGTTCGCTCAAGGGTCACACCGACGCCGTTCAAGATATCGCATTCGATGGCAGTGGAAAATTATTGGGTATCATATGATATCCATAAATTTTATTTTCATTAATAATTTTTTCTTTTCATACTCATTTTTGATCTGAAATATTTGCAGCATCTTGTTCCGCTGATTTAACGATAAAATTATGGGAATTCGTGCAGACATACAATTGTATGAAAACTCTCAAAGGACACGACCATAACATTTCTTCAGTTACTTTCCTTCCATCGGGTAAAACTTCTCTCTTTAGAAAAAGTTAATATTTTTCCTTGATCAATCGAATAATTTGAGTTTTTTTAATTTCGTTATATGATATGAAATCATTCTCTCTTTTTATACATTTTTTATGTTTTTGATATCTTTCAATTGGAAGAACGTCTTAAATAACTAATATTGTCACTGTTCTCAGTAACATATATTCTTTTCCACCATTTTCCAATGTTTTCTCGATGGTAGTGGAATGGCGGAGTTGTTGATGTCGTTTCGGAACGCTGATGCTAGGTTTCTACTCCAGCAAGCCTGTATTTCAAAAATTTCAGTGGTACCGCATATTCATTTGTATTTCCAGCCAAGTAATTCCTAGGAATCAAAATCTGGCTGGTCGAATAGATTAGTGGAGCGAGTCAAAAATCAGAAATGAAGCATTTAAAAAGCTAAGCGAATGTTCAGAAAAAAAAATGTCATCGTTGATGAACGGACGGATGTGGTAATCAAGTGGATATTTTAAAATGATCAGCAATGATTAATTTTATTTGATGCTAATTTAATATTTCTTTATATTTTTTATTTTCTATTCCATCGCCGGCGAGTCAACAGGTAAATGAAAAAGTTTTTCCATTATCGGATATGTTTAATTGTTCCTACATTGCTAGTTTTGTTTAATCGCACTAATTTTTGAAATATTTATTATTTTTTTGATATTTGATATATTTCATTTGATTAAAAACAATTATATTTTTGTTTACAAACTAGAACAAAGGCAACCGCAAACACAGTTGCAAACAAGATCACACCGACAAACGTAGATATATATATATAAATATATATATATTTATAGTATATATTATTTTATAAATAACTATATTTATAGTGATTTCACTACAGGAGATCATATACTTTCGGCTTCTCGTGATCATCTGATTAAATTGTGGGAAGTAGCTTCTGGTTATTGTGTACGAACTTATGCAGGGCATCGCGATTGGGTACGCATGGTTCGCATCTCTTATGATGGAAATACTTTCGCGTCTTGCAGCAATGATCAGGTTATTTTGTCGTCTTTTTAGTTTTTTAATATTTGATCCCACATGTTTAATTGTTTAATTTAATGTTCATTTTATTTAAAATTTTTGGTAAAAATTGTAAAATGTAAATTTGGTAAATTTTATAAAAATTTTCATTTTCCAAAGATTCATTTCTGAGTTTTTACGAAAATTTCAGTCTGTACGTATTTGGAACATGGCTTCAAAAGAATGTAAAATGACGCTGCATGAACATGAACACGTTGTAGAATGTATTGCATGGGCACCCGATAAAGCTTTACCATATATTAAAGAGGCTGATGAAAGTGATTCTGGTAAATTTTGCGTTTAGGGTCTTATGCAGTGAACGAATTATTAATATGTTGATTTATAGTTGCAATTAAAACTAATGGCGAAATTTCCAATGAACAAAAGGAAATCAAAATGGGTCCCGTACTTATTTCCGGTTCTCGAGACAGAACAATAAAATTTTTTGACATTAACGCTGGATTATGTCTTTTCACCCTTGTAATTTTTAATTTTATTTTGAAATTATTCGAAAAATGATCTAAAAAAGTTGGGATTTTTTCTGTTATTACTACAAATTTTTACGAAACATTTTGTCATTTTGTATATTATCGTTTTAGCGTTTGTGTTATTTTGCAATTATTTACTTTAAATTTTTATAGATTGGACATGATAACTGGGTACGTGGTTTGCGTTTTCATCCAGGCGGTAAGTTTCTTATTTCGGTGGGTGATGACAAAACAATGAGGGTCTGGACGATCAGTCAGAAGCGATGTAGCAAGACTATAGATTCTCACACTCATTTCGTGACATCTCTTGGTAAGTTTTATCATCATTAGGTCTATTTGGTCGCATCGTTATGAAAATGAATAGCGAGAAGTGTCTGAAATTTTTCGACTGAAATCTTTTCTGTATTCAGTAATTCAGATTAACTCGTGTTAACAACTTCACTATTTCAGATTTTCACCCGGCATTACCCTATGTCGTTACATCGAGTGTTGATATGACGATTAAAATTTGGGAATGTCGTTGAGAGTTTCAGTGATATTCAATTGAATTGCTTATTTTTAATTTTCGTCCTGTTTTAATTTTTTCAAAAGTGAGATATAGTTTAAATTGCTATGTAATTTCTTGTCTTTTGGTTTTAAAAAATCAGAATTCTCATTGGAAAAATTTATAAACTTAATATTCTCTTTAGTTTTTTATATCCAGGTATTTTCTATCAAATCCATTTTTATTCGACCTTATTTTTATCTTTTAAGCTGTAAAGTATTGGTTTAATTCTATTTCGCTTTGCTCATATTTTTTTCATGATAATAATGAATGTTGGATTTTAACGGAATCTTTTTTTTTTATTTATATATTTGAAAGCAGTAAAAAAAATATGTTGCCATATTTTTAGAGAATTTTTGGATGAATATAAACTGAATAAACTCAAAGCTTTTAGTGAGTCTTCCATTCGCAACTTTTGTTGTAACCGCGATTCTTTCTCGAACCGCTTTTTGTATTGTGATATATGGTCATTTTTTGGGCATATTTTCTAAAAATAATAAATAGTATTTCATTTTCTAACTTTTTTTATTATATTTTGCGATTTCCTATTTGCTTTCGATATCAATATATCTCAATAATAATAATGTTTGTAATAACGATGAAAATGTTCGTCGTTATTTCTTATCCATAATCGTAGTAGTGATAATTTTACTCGCTATTGTTATGTGATTGTTTATTGCTATTTGGTAATAAAGAATGGTGAACACGTTTCAAATATTATTCTTTTATGTTTTTATTAATATTTCCGGGAAAAGAGGAACCTTACCAACTGAAAAGTGATTTGCAGGATTGGTCATAGCCACCAAAAAAAAAGAAAAAAAAAGGGATGGATTTAAGCTAAATGCTAAATATTTAAGGTACATATTTCTTATAATAATGGAAATATTGAAGTCGTGTTATTGGACATGTGTAAAATCAAACCTTCGAGGAGAAATATATGGGTTCCGTCGTCACTATTTGTTCGATTTCATACAGGTAAAATTTAAAATTTTTTTAATGGAATTCACACTGTTGCATTGTATCTTTGGTGTCGTTTATTGGTCTATTTTTGGTCTAATTTGAAGAGGTCGAATTTCGAATGGTTTAGTATTGTAAAATCTTAAGAATCTTCGAAGTGGTACTTTGATTTTTTACTAATAACTATTGAATTGCATGAAATATGTATTAACCCTAAGATTCCATATGGCTGCAAATTGTTTTATCGTTTTCAAGGTTTAAAATTTTTAAAAATCGAATTATTGTTTTGTGAAATTTACAGAATTCAAGTCGTTTTAAATCGATATACACGCCGATAACACCGAAAAAGCCAGTGATGTCAGTTATAACTAACGAAACCGATATGTTATTGGGCAAAGTTGTACAGATAACAGATATAGGATTAGACAAGATTCACTGTGTGCAGGTATTGCTTGGTCTTCAAGTTGAAAGATCTATCCTATGGACAAGCAGGATTTTGTTCTATTGAAGAATATTATAATTGCGCGAGCAAATACTTATATGTCCAAAAACATTTTTATCGATAAAATCAGTATTAAAAAAGTATGACAGTTGTATCAGTAATGAAGTTGACTTGAAATCAGTTCGTTTTGCATGCTTAAGACAATTTTTTTCAAACCCCTGCCCCCCCCCCCCCCCATAAGATTTCAGATCTCGTTATTTTGTCCTGAGCTATTAAATTGCTTTCTCACTCACTAAATCCTCATTAATCACTGGTCATTTCCTTAGCAATCTCTATCATTATTACCCATTCCGATTTTCTAAATTGTGATTGGGGTTTTAGCAAAGGAATGAAACATTTCCATTTTTATTTTTTAAGAATATTTATAGGTCCGATGTAGACAAAATGAATTCGATTTATATTTAAAAAAATTCTTTGTTAAAAGCGGCGATTTCTGGGCAACAGATACCAAAACACATTGCGGTTTCTTTTAAAAATTTGATTTAACTAAAAATTTATTGCGAATTCGATAATCCGAAATTTATCTAATATATGGATTTAAAACTAAACTTGATAATATTTGCTCTGATAAGCATTTTATAATTCCTTCGACTATCCATTATTATTTCAATATTTATATTCAACACATAAATTTGTCTGATTTATATATACATTTCATTTTGCATGTATTTTGTACATCTTTTATTTTCATTCAAATATCACTGTTTTAATTATGAGAAAATCTTAGGTCTTGGTGACATTGTTTTAATAAAAAAGCCCACAGAAAAACCCCCACAGCAGAGAATCACTCATGAAGTAATGAAAATCATTTTCAAATTTGGTTATATAATCGATCCAGTTACCAAGAAAAGGGTGGTTCGAGATTCTTTCGATGATGAATTCGAATTTAGAACAAGAGTTGTTAAAGAAATCTTGGAAAAACCATTTGATCAAGTATTTTTGTTCCTTGTTTCATTGCTACAATTTAGTTTTCAGCGATGAGTTAACTTAGTAAGTTGTATTTATTTAATATTTAATATTTGCATTTGTAGTAGAAATATTTTTTAAAGACCTTGTTATTATTAATTATTGACGGAGTTTATGATTGAATATCCTTTGTCATTCTCTTAATTTTGAGTTCAAAGGCATAGAGTTTCAAAAGAAAATTCTCAAAAGTTGGAAACTGGCACGCTTCAATTAAATTATTTGCTGTTGTTTTAGGATGCATTACTTTTCGATGAACAAAGCGCTATACAACATCGGCGTCTTCTAGAACGAAAAAATTCTATCGAAAATAATGAGGAATTGTAATAAATATTTTTATGAATAAATTGATGCCTTTTTGTTTATTTTCATTCGTTTTGATTTTTGTGATTATCGATGTGCCATTATCTTTATAATAATGTTCATTAAAATAACAGTTAACGAGATGCAAAAAGTGCGTTTTAATCTCAAATTTCTATAAAATTTTAAGAGAAAATTTCTGATTCTGGAAAAACTTGATAAACTTGAAGTAATTACTGAAGTTATTAGATTGTTCTTAAGAATTATAAATGAGACGGGTAATTTCACCAAAATCCAGCCGTTAAATTTTTAATAATTTTAATAATTTAATTTTTAATTTTTAATATTTTATAATGGTTAATTTCGCAAAATTATTTCTGTTTGAAGATTTTGTGGTTGATTTTTTTTGGTCATTTTCTTTAATTAATGTGCTGTTCTAGCTATTTCGTCTATGATTTTTAATAAAGTTTAATAAAATTGTTTCATTAGGGCATGATGGAATGGGGAATCGACGGCGAAATAAGGGGAAAGAGCACTACGAATTATCCTCGTGAAGTTAATGTCTGCAAATATGTTAGTAGTCGAGTCAAGCAAATCAATGAACTATTGCAGGTGTGAATTATTTTTTGCACTAAAAAAGAAATGTTTGTTGCAAATAAAATGTGGAAAATTTTCGAAAATGACTGGGCTAATTCAGTGGCCAGAATTTCTAAATACTATTCTTTTTTGGGTCCTGACGCCTTATTATAGGTTATTTGGTTGGATATTATTGTCTTCATGTATTAATATTCTGCTTGTAATTCTGATTATAATTAAAATGCTAGAATAGATTTCAAAAGTTTAGTTTATAAGGGTGGAAATAATGCTTCAGAGGGTAATTTTTTCCATTTTATTGAATTTATTGCATTTATTTAAAATATTTTTAAAATTATTTATTGTTTGTCATTAATGCGGCAAATTTAGTTGCTAATTCACTTTGTTTCACGCTTTGTTTCAAGTTCTTTTTAAAATTTAGGGAAATTTAGGACCCTATCAGAAAAATTCACAATTTTTTTTTGAAATTGTATTTGTTATTTAAATGTTTTAGGTTATTGATAACAAATCGCTCGTTGCTGGCGAAGTAACCAAAGGCCCACGTACAGCTATGCAACGTTTACCTCGTCATATGCGACGTCGTGCAATGTCATATCAAATAAAACGTTTCCCTCGTAATCAGCGATGTTTTGCACGATCAGTCGTAAATGCTTCAAAACATCGCAAAAAACCTCCAAGTCGTTGTCGGCGACGTCGTCCGCGCAATTTGCTTCTAGTAAAAATTTTTTGCAAAAATTTTAGTTTCTTCTCCTCGTTTCTTTTTGCTTGAGGACTTGAGAAAGGGATGGAAATTTTCGAGAAATAAATGAAATATTTGTAATATGATATTGAATAACTTATGTGAATTAATTTTTAGAACTATATTCGGCGACAGAGGAAAGCCGTTTGGTTAGAAACTCATATATGGCATGCTAAACGGTACAGGATGATTGAAAAATGGGGATACAAATTGCCTTTAGGTAGCTGTCAGCGATCTTTTAGGGCAACTTACCGGGATTCAATTTATCACTGTTCAGTTCGAGATACCACTTTCCTACGTTGCTTTCAGGTTATCACAATTTGTTTTTTATTTTTATCTGATTGCTTACAGTTTTTTCTCTTTTAAATTTTATTCAATGAATTATTTTATTTAGATCATAAGCGCAAATCACTTAGAGCTAATCGATGCTTTAAGAGATTTCTGTGCTGTACAGACAGGGCCAACATTTGCATCTCGGGCGGCCCTTACCGGAAAATTTGAAATACCAATTTTGTTATATAGTCCGAATCGCTACCCAAGGGAGCTGTTTGGACCAATTCGATTCATGTGGAGCACTGATGAGTATAATCAGATTCATAAATTAAAATTGCGATTAACAATTAAAATAAATTTCTCAATTAAAAATTATTTTAAAAAATTTTTCAAGAGATAAAGAGAAATAAATAAATATTTATTTACACATTTTATATTTAATATTATATTTATATTTAATGCACATTTTAATAATATTTACACATATCAGTTGCTTTATACTTAATGAATATAGTTTTCAGTTCGAATAATTCGGTTTTAATAATTTGGGTGCATCCTTCGATTAGTGATGTGGTTCTGGGAAATTTGTTAAATTCACTGCAATTAGAAAAGGTAGATCATGGTTCTGTTACTATCGATTTCGAAAAATTTCCTCAAACTATGGATGAGTGGCGCTTGCATAATCTTACCATGAAAACCAATGTATATGAAAACTCTAAAGGAACTAAGGTTTTAATTTTCGATTTTTTGATAAAAATCCTTTTTGAATTTGTTTTTTCGTTTGACTAATAGTTATTAGTTCATTTCTGATTATTTATTTGCATCATGTTTTCAGTTTTCCGTTAATATTTTTTCGAAAAAATTTAAAAATTTTTGAAATGGAGGATGTATGCAGTATTTGCAGTTATATGATTCGCATTTATGATATTATATTTTCAGAATTATATTTTCATATTTCCATATATTTTAGCTGCTTGATTTAAGTGATCAACTAGTTCGATTTCGTTTGCATGGTCCAAAATCTTTGTTAATACTTGGTAATGTTTTATGTACAGTGAGTGACGAAAATTTTCATCAACCATGGATGAAGGACTTCTGGTATAAAACCATTTTACCATTTTTTTCTTCTTATGAATGAACTTTTTAATTAATTTAAAGATCTGCTTTCTTATTATGTTAGAAAAGATTTAAATAAAATGTCTAATTTTTATTTATCGCTTGAAAGTTTATGGAACTAAGAGAAATTTCTTAAGTCAAAACAATGCTCATTGGAATTCGGATTTAAAAAATCGTGTTCCTGGTGAATTATCAGATGGTTTGATTTTCACTATATTAGTTGAAGATCCGAGACTTACGAGGCCCATTAAAAAGTCACTTCCTGGCCTTGTAAAAAACGAATTACCTTTGATAAAGATTCATGAACTGCCTACTCCACGAAATGCATTTTGGATCAAGGATTTGCGTAAAAACGTTCGTTTTGAATAATTGTCAATTTTTTCGTGATTGCAAAAGATATTTTTATGTCTTATAGTATACGCTCAAAAATAGCCACAATTTTAAGTTTTCAGGTTTTAAATTTCAAGCTGACCGAAGCAGATATACAGTCAAAGCGGAATAGCAGTTTGGCGTGTGTAAAAGAATCTGATGCAAAAGTATTGTTTTTTTATTCATTTCGAATCTATTTTTGTTTTGAAATTTAAAATTAAATTAAATTAGTCTCGTATTTCGATTAAGAACCGTTCATTCGAGTATTTTTATTATAGATTCCGGTTATTTTGGTCATTCGTAACTGTGGTACTGGTTCTCTAAATAGCTTTACTGGAGTTGATCTGATTGTGCCTTCTGGCTTTGGTAATTTTTTTAGGAAATTTTCGATTTTTTTAACTTTTTTGCACAGCTGCTTCAGTGAATTTTCTGTATTAAAACTCCTATGCATATATAAAAACAAGAATAATGTAATATATTTTCATAAATATAAAATTATAAATATAAAAATAAATATAAAAATATAAAAAGTATAAAATGAGCGCTCACCATTTCTAGTTAAGCTCATTCTGCTGGTTTATCAGAACAGAATTCTGCCAAAAAATTAAGTATAGGTAAGTCGTCACCATTTTCGAAAGACTGGTTTGAAGGACAAGGCAGTTTTTACTTTCTGAACAGTAGATCAGTAGATCTAGCTTCGATTCTCTGAAATGAAAGAATGAAAGAAAAAATCCATTAAGCCATATTTAAAATAATAATAATGTATTATATTTTATTGCGAAATCGCTGGATACGGATTTATTTTACATAATTTACTATGGGTTATTCTTAGAAAAAAAACGACACGAGGAGGGCAGAAGAATTTGAAAGTGTACAAAAATAGATTCGAAATGAATAAAAAACAATGCTTTTGCATCAGATTCTTTTACGCACGCCAAACTGTTATTCCGCTTTGACTGTATATCTGCTTCGGTCAGCTTAAAATTTAAAACCTGAAAACTTAAAATTGTGGCTATTTTTGAGCGTATACTATAAGTCATAAAAATATCTTTTGCTAGATGTATTCAAGCTAGCATTCTCATATCCTAAAATTGTAAAATTCTCACTATAGGTATGGAATTTTGGATTGCGCTGCAATATGGAACTGCCAGAGCTGCAGGCTTAAGAGATCAAAAGGCCATAGAATTTGAAACTAGTCATTTTAATTTTCCTTGTGATGTTCCTGATTGTGTGATTGCTGATTTGGAACTTCAGGCAGAATTTCAAGAACTTCAGGTGACTTCTTAATGAATTTTGAAATTCTCGCAAATCCAAAGCATTTTTCAAATGCTTTAAAAAATATCTAAAATTTTTAAATTTGTACATACCATGAAAGTGCATATATTTTGCAGAGCAAATATTTTGCCTATCCACATAATCGTCGCATTCATTATTGGGATTCTCTATCGATATTGTATCCATTTAGTTTCAAATGGGCTGAACTAGCTGGAGAGTGGTCACAAAAAAATGACTGTGAAAAGCCATTTGTTATTCGTGATAGAAGGCTTTTATCACTGATTGAAAAGTGGATTAATGGAAAAAGTTCTGTAATAAATGGTTTGTCTTTTTTCTCAGTGTTTTTTAACCAGTTTTATTTTCTTGACAATTTCTAATTTTGATGCAGTCCGTAAATAATTGGTTTTATTTTAAGACATCATTTGTCAGACACTCTCAATGGCTCTTGTACCAGTTCGATTAGATGCATTGGTGAGTGGAAGACCAATGCGTTTCGCATTGATTTGTGCTCCAAATCAAGAAGATTTTTCAGCTGCTTCAAGGCTATCTGGCAAAAAAAATATAATTATTAAAGAATCAGGGCGAGCAAATAGTTCTGAACAAAGGGATTTGACAGAAAAAGAATATTCACTAGTCCATAAGTTCTTTAAATTGATCTGTTTAGAAGATATTTCGAAATCATTAATGATTTTAATCATTAATGATTAATGAACCAGCAAATGATTTTTTTCAAAAGTTTGATGATTGGATATTTCATATTTTATGAAAATTTTGCGTTACAGTTGAGTATTCTTATAACCATTACATAATATTTCAGTGAGATCGAAACCAATGATTTAATATGTTCAATTAATTTTATAAGTTTTTAAGTGATTGATGAATATTTTAGCATTTAAACTGTAATGAATATTTTAGCATTTAAACCGTAATTTATTTAGAATGAAGAAGATAAACTCGAAGATTATATTGAATTAAATGAAGAAAAGAAGGAAGCTTCTATTTCTTTAGATTCTTTATTTCCCGACAAAGAAATATTAAGGTGTTTTCTTCATATGAATTATTAAAATTTTTGGTCCAGTTTTAAGTTTAAATTTTCATAAAATAATAGTGTGGCAAATAATAGTGTTTAATAGTGTTCAATAGTGTGGCAAAAAATATATTTTTCAAAATTTTTCCATTACAATTCAATTACTTATATTTGTTGAAGAAAATCGAAAGTTTTAGAAAACGAAAAATCCTTGATATGAAGAAAATAAAACGTATGAAGACAAAAAAAGCCAAAAATGAAAATGTTGCTCAAAATTCTTCTCATCAAAATATTTGCGCTCGTATCTTGTATCGTGAAAGTTGTTCAAGGTGTTAGCTAGTTAATACTTGTTTTATTCAATATTTAAGACTTCTATCACTAAATTTATCATTTAATTTTTTCTTCTTTTCACTTTTCCATTTTTCCTGGCTTGGTTGAATCTAGTAGGAATCTAGTTATTAAGAATAAGAACCTCAGGATTTTTTGATTTGGCAGATTTACCTCTATAAAGAGTGGGGAATATAGATCAAAACTATGGAATCATCAAAATCATTCAAAATCATATACTCCTTGCTCTGTTCCCGTTGTTCTCTTTTAAAATTAGAGAGGCAAACTAATAATAAATAATAAATTTCTAATAGCAAGTTTTTTACAAAATTTTTAACTTGTTTTTATTTTAGGTGGATAATAGGACGTGTTGTTAGAGGCGATTTTTCTTTTTCAACTGGTAAAGGTTGCGCCCTAGGATACATTTGTTTTGAAGCGCTAAGGTCAATTCATAAAAGAGAAGTTTTGTTTCGAAATATTACTTCAAAATACTTTCATCCTGCTCGAATTTCCATTGTGAAAACCGTGCTTGATTTATAAATTATGGTTGAAAATACTGCTAATCATTGTTATTATTTGGTTCAGTTTTATACTTTTTTTTCCGTCCTTTTTTAATCATAAACTGTAGCTTTATGATCGGAGAAAATCGTTATTTTATAAGTATAATTTACAACTATTCTTTTTCATGTGAATGTTAGCAAAGCAATAAAAATTTTTACTAAAGGATCAAACTACGAGTTGTTCACTCCTTACGCATTTCTTTAAATGTTTTATCTTTTAAAGTACTCTGGAAAGAGAATTTGGCAGTGTGCTGCAACTTTTTTATTTTTATTTTATTTTTTGTTCTGTTTAAATTCTAATTGAATCGACTGGGAAAGCTGTATCTATGAATTTGATGCTTCTTTTAAACTTCGACTATAACGAGTTTTATCATGATGCTAAAAAAATGAACTCGTAATTTAATGTGTTGTGGATTTATGCTTCAAAAAACTGATTAAATTATCGAATTGTTTTGATTATTATTGTTCAAAAATTTTATATTCGAAATGTTTTTAATATATTCTATTCATTTTGTTTCAAATGCCACCGACTACGGAAAAGGATGCTATAAAATAAGAAAAGATGCGAGGTGGATTAAAAAGAAAGGTTTTCTTACTGTTCTCAGCGCTGGTTGTGCTTTTGCAGTTTCTGGTGTACGTCTAGAGACTCTTTGTTGTCTTGCAGCAGTCATTACTCCAGATCTTAAGAAGCTATAATGGATTATTCCGCAAGGAAGTGCCCGTAGTTTCAGTGTTGAGGACAGGTTTCGGCAATTTCTTTTTGTCCAGCCATGTTTTTTGCTATTGTTCAGAATCCATTATTTGTTTAGATAAAAGTTCGTCCCAGAGTTAAAGAGTTAACAACATTGCAGCAACATGGGTTTCATATGACCTGCAGTCCATTCTTACCATTTCTTTTTCCAACAGTCCTTACCATTTCTGGTTAGTCTGGCTTCGCTGGCTACAAGGATAATCCAAGTTGGTCGATCCAACTACATCGCTAACAGCAAAACCGAGCGAATCGAAGCTACATTTATGCTTTGGTAACCTTTTCTGACAATTGGACTGTTCTTCCCAATTAGCGCATTTCTTACTAGTATGCTCTTGTGGCTGACTTTCGTAGACATTCATTTGGACCAGTCTTTGTTTGCAGTTCCAGAAAAGTCATTGATATTTATACCATTGAGATGTTTCAATAATTATTCGTTTACAATGTACTTTTTTCTCGAATTTTTTAGTCTGAGGTAGTTGAGAAATCTTAAGAGACGTTGTTCCTTGCGCGTCGTCAGTTTTATGGTATAAAATGGTCTGATCCGTAGAGGTCACCAGTTTCAATTCCCGATAGGAACGATTATCTATTATGGAATTCTTCCAACGGCGATTGACTAAAATATAATCAATTTGGTTGCACTGTTGGTTATCCGAGGAGTTCTAAGTGACTAGATATCTTTTATGATGCCTGAAGCATGTATTAGTAACAAAAAGTTCATGCTAAAACCAAGAGATGTTGTTAGCAGTTGAATCTCCTCATAAAACTTATCCTTATCGCTACTATCTACTCATAATGTTGGAGCACATATATTGATGATCGAAATATAGCAGAATTTCCTTTGAAGCGAGCAGAGGCTATACGGTCTTTTACCTGTTTCCACTCAATCAGAGTAGATCGAGCTTTTGCAGAGGCAATCGCTACACCATTTCGAGCTATCCGAAACATCACAATAATATAGCCAGTTCTGCTTGGAGTCAGTTTTAATAACTGCATGAGATCCGAAGGGAGAAAAAAAGGGAGATACGCACCGGACTTTCAACAATTAGGCGACATCCACACGATATTTAAAGAGAATGTGGACTTGGATTGTAACATCCATAAGTGTTCTGACGTCCCACGCTGCTACGGCTAACACCTCACCGCGTGCATAGAGCCATTTCTCTTGAAGGTTTTGAGCGGCAGCTGGCTTGAAAGTATTTTGTTTTCAAACCAAGCTCATCGTTTTATTATGCCTCAATATTGCATATTTGCATATACTACCGGGCTGAGCTGTTGTTCTGCGAATCAAGATCAAATTCTTTCACCATAGTCACCTGGAGATAGAGTTACAGGTATTATTCGGGTTTTTGAAATCATTTTATTCATGTCAAAGACAAAAGAAATAAAAAAATAAGAAAAAAGAAAATATATAATAATATATATATATTAAAATATAAATAAAATATAAAAAAAATTTTCTCACCCCTTATGGATGGTAAAGGTCATCCTCAACTTCGAGTCCTCTACCAAAGGTCTACAAAATTAAAGGTTTCTTGACTGTCCCTAATACTGCTTCTGTCTAGATATTCCTGATTGCCCCTAAAACCTGCTGAAGCCATTTTTCTAGTATAGAGATCACAATTCCAAGTGCTCCAGTTATCACTGGGATTTCTTTGGTCTTCACTTTCTACATCTCTTATTCCTCTTTCAGTCCCAGATATTTTTTTAACGTTTCATATTCCTTCCATATTCCTATCACTTCCTCTATGTCTGTCACCAGTGCTGATTTCTGATTCTTGTCTACTACCACGATGTCTGGTTTTTTGGCTAGTACTTGTTTGTCTATCTGGATGGAATCCCACAGTCACCTTAATACTCTCCACAATTTTCTAAGGAGGCTGTTGTTTAGTCTTGGAAGGGTCTAAGCCATATACCGAGCAGATATTCTTGCAGATGATGCCAGCTACTTGGTTATACCTTTCATTGTATATTGTTCTTGCATGTTACGTTTTACACCTTGCCACTATATATCTGGGGCTTTTTGCACACTCCGCATCTAGAGTATTTGGTAGATCCTTATTTCGATGGATCTGGTGCCTAATGTTGCTCCTGTACTGCTACTGCTGAGCAGTGTCTCAGTGTTGCTTTTTAGTCTGGCTTTAGTCTCCAAACACTCATAGGATTTCATAATGTCTATTTGTCGATGGGGTAACCCATAGAGTGCCTTGCTTTGCCATGGTATTTCCTATGCTTGATCATTTTCCAAGTATTTTTTTCTATTCTCATTTAACGAATCTTTAGGATTCCTGTTGATTTTGTATAGGGCCAGACATTTATAGATCTCCGTGTATGGGGCATTAAGTCATAGGCTTTCACATAGTTAGTATCCACACTGTGCAGATTGATCTGTCGGGATTTTGAGTCTCTGCCCTATCTATGAGCAATTTGTGTTTGGAGCCCCTGAAGTTGTTCCCAATATCTTGTTGAACTACATTCATATACTGGCTCATATGGCCTACTGACTAAAAAAACTAAGAAAAACCAGCGGTTCAAGAGCGCCTAACAACACAGATGAACCAGCTGCTTGTGGCAGGATCTCATCCAGACTAGTTGAAACAAGAAAGCCACTTATAAAAAGACATTTGAAGTCAATTCAAAGCGGTTTGCATAAGTGGCTATTAAGTGGGGCATATTCAAGATGATGCATTGTCTCCATCGTATCGTTCTGCATAGGTTTAACCTTTCAATCAGAAAATCACGAGATCAAGAGTGGAACTGCAGCCAGCCATCTTTTCTACTTGGATAACAAAAGATCCTTGGTCGTCGCAAAGTGGAACACTTCTCCAAAAAACGAAGGGCTCGGACTCGAAACGAGAGAAAGAACAAGATCATGCGCAACTGACGCGTTTCGTCGGACAATGCCTTCATTTTGTAGATGGCGCCCGGCCGTAATTTTATCGACCGCAACCGCGTTCTCGCAAAATATATTTAACGGTACTTCTACGATTGCTTCTTCGTATTTGTTTGATTTTTGAATGATTATTTATTTCATAAAATTAATTTTGGTGGATTTTTTCTTTCTATTTTCGTTATTGGCCCAACCGTATTATTTGCCGAATATAATAAAATTAATCGATTTTTAAGAATTTTGCAGAAAAATGCGAAAACGTTTTGTAAAAGCATTCGTAATGCATTTATTTATTTATTTGAATTGTTGCATTTGCAAAGAAAATAGCGAAGTGAGTGCGAAATTGAAGGGGCGAATTTGTGCGTACGGCGACATGGATCGCGACTTGTACACTGATTTGATTGTTAAAAGCAAACATTTCTTGAAGATTTATCTGCAAGTTGGTTTTATTCCTTCGTTTCGTGAATTAAACATTTCGGCTTCGTAAATGGAGGAGTGGGGAGAGGAAATACTGTGGCACTATGAGAGGGAACTGAGAAATAAGGGCGGAAAGAGGAGAATGAACTTGAAAGATAGAGAAGGAAGAAGGACGAACGATTAGCTGTGGGTCGCATTTGCGAAGAGAAAAGAAAACGTTTAGTTTTAGTTCGGAAAAAACGTTTGTTGTTTTAGGGTGAAAATGGCGAATTTACTGAATCTTCTCAGGCAATTAACTTGGCTTCGAGCCATGCAATTTCATGCGCCGTTGGGGATTTTAATGGTGATTCTGTGCCCGATATACTAATTAGCCGAAAAAAGGTTTTTTATTTATGCATTAACGATAAGAATGTATTCTGTATAACTGTAGGAAAATGAAGGAATTTTATCCCACTTGATCTGTTCATTAATGCTATTTTCATTGTTATTTTCTTCATTTACTTGTCATGTGAGGTTAAATAAATTTCCCCTGACTAGTTGCAATTCTCGCCGTATAATTCGCTTTTATTATCTTTTCTTTTTCAGTTATATTACGTTATATTACCGGATTTTTAGACGAGTTTAATTCCGTTTTTTTCTGGAGGCAATAATGGTTATGAAGCGATTGTTTATATAAATAATGGAAATGGTTATTCGGCTCATATTTTTAATGAAACATTTCTCGATGAAGTTCCAGTTATGGACATAAATGGTGATGGTATAAGCGATATAATTGGTTTTCTTTTAGACGGTTCATTATTTTGCAGATTGGGTGGTGTTCCCAGTGACTTCATTCCTTGCGAGAGGAATTTCAGGTTGTACAGGCGTTATTTCTATAGTTTCACTTATATAAACTATTTTTAAATTAAATTTTTTAAATTTTCCTAAATTGATTGAAGTTTGATTTGAAATTTTAGGAATTTCGATATCAAACCCTTTCCGAATTTTTTACATTCATTTGTTGATATTACTGGTGATTTAAGTGCAGAAATTGTATTCGGAACAGTTATTGGTGGTGGATTGAAATTAAGCGTTTGGAGACGAGTCTCAAAGTATTTTTATTCTAATTCTAATTGAAAAAATGACAAGATTATTTATGTTTTGAGTTTATCAATAGTTCATTTTTTTTAGCATACTTTGGGAACATGATTCGTCTTTCATTCCTGATCTTCCGATATCATCTTGTAAGAACAAATTCTATGGTGCTGCACTTTATGCTGATTTTGACGCTGATGGCCTTATTGATATTGGAATTCCTTGCTGTTCCGATGAAAACTGTGCAAAAGTGGAAGTAATATTGATGTGGAATCAACGATTTAAACAATGGCAAGATTATCGTATATCTGGACTTGAGGTTATCCAAAAAATTTTTAAAAATTTTTCTGGCATAAATGCTGTCATCTGTTATTATACTATCTATTTATTGTCTATAACATCTTTTTATCAAGGGCTCAAAGTTGGTATCGAAGAAAGAAGAGGGGAATGTGGTATTTAGAATTGGTGATTTCTCCTTAGATGGTTATCCAGATCTTATTGCTTTAATCCGGGAAACGTCTCAAAATCCGATGATTTTTGAAAATGTACCCTGTAATGATTGCATATCAAATGCGACAAGGTTAACTTTTCCTGTTTTCCATTTTTTTATTTATTTCATGTTTATTATATTTATTTTTCAGATATATACTGATATTTGATATACTGATATTTTTATCAGTTTTACTTAATGGATCTTATACAATATTACATTATTATTTATTTCATATTACAGAAAATTTGAATTACGCACTAGTCCAAGATTAATTCAACCAGCAGATGTATCTCTCGGAGAAATTCAAATGGTTTCTTTTTTCGATTTAAAAGAAGACGGCACTCTTGATGTTCTCTTAGAATATCGAGATGTAGATCGAACTGATATGACTATCGATTTTATTCGCTGTGAAGATAAGGGTGACACGACGTTCTTGAAAGTTCAAGTCTTTTCAAGTGTGTGCCAAAATAACTGTGGTTCTACAAAAACAAGAATCGGTTTGTTTTATATTTATATCCGCAAATTCTGAATTATTTTGTCGTTAATTGTGCTCTAATTTGAATTGAATTACTTCAAATTTTTGAATTTTTAGAAATTTTAAAATGAATCTTGAAGGTAGTGGAATTGCATGGCATGGTGCTTGTACAATGTTCAGTATGTCAGGATCATGGGGCACAGAACAGCGTGGAATTCAGTGTCAAATGCCTCAAACTACTCATCGTGCACTCTCTACACCTTTTGCCCTTTTTGGTCTTGGGCGATCACCAAATTTCATCGATTATGGTAAGTTGCTTCCTATAAATTGTCATTATTATTATTGTTATGTTGTCATTATCGTAGAAAATATTTTTAGTACACATTGGTTCACCTCGCTTTTTACGTCTGCCTGGTCATTCTGGAAATCAGCACTATGATTTAAAGCAAATTGTCCCAAATTCGCGTTTAATAGTGGTACCTCCGAAAGATAATAATAGTCACTGGCAGAGTCGGCTTTATCTTACACCTAGTCAGGTGAGAATTTTGAAGTTTTATTTAAGAAAATTTTATCTTTTTCAGTGAGTAGTCTTATTTTTTTCTTTCTATTTCTTTCTCTTCCTATTTTCGTCGTTTGTTATTTTTTATAAAGGGCGTTTTATTTAGAATTTTTTTTTCGTATGTTATGTTAAAAATATTTTTATCAGAAATAAAAACCTTACTAATATTCTATAAATAAAAGCGATAAATATTAATATGTCTTTCTGGTTGAGTTCTTCTTCTTCTTCTAACAACTCTCACTAGTACTGGTTGAGTTGTGGGAAATACTGGATAAAAAACTGAATATTTTCGGTATTTTTATTATTAATCTGTTGTTCCCGAATAACTTATTAAATTAAATAAACTAACTGAAATTATCGTTGCAAAGTTCTTTTGTAATTTTTGGAAAGTTCTTTCGAAAATTCCATTAGTTATTTGTTGCAGCTTATAATTCAAAGTCTTGCGGTTCTGGTTTCTGTTTGTATATTGTTATTATTCTTGGTCGCACTTTTACATTTCCGAGAAAGGCGAGCTGATGCTCACGAACGGCAAGCTCAGTCACATCGTTTCCATTTCGATGCCATGTAATTTTTTTGGCGATATATATATTTATTCTTTCCTAATTTTTTAGGCATTTCAAGGTTAATTTTTGGTTGATTAGTTGATATGATCTAATATATATTATATTTTCTTGTTCCATTTAATGTTCCTTGAAATCCGTGTCAATATCATATTAAAATTGGTTAATACCTTGGTTTATTTGTATTTTTTGGATTTTAAAAAGTTGCCCAGCAAATGTCTTGTATTTTCTCTGTGCTATAGTGAATATATAACGGGAGCTTATTTCTGAGATTATTTTTTTCAGAAATTCGTTCGCTTATTCGCTTTTTTATTTGTTGTATTAATTTTGTTTTATATTCATATTAATATCACAATATTTATAATTTTATATTTTGAATATTTTCGAAGATTTTCTATTTCTTGTATTTGAATGGCAGAAAATTGAATTCTTTTATTATTGTATTTATTTCTTTACCTTTTTTACATTTCTTAGTTTCTTCTTTGAAACTTTACAATTCCGAGTGAAATTGGATGGCACTCCTAAATTATAAACCTAATTACAGTTTGTATTGCTTTAAATATTTTTCGAGGTAGAATACAGAGAAATTTTCAGCTTGTATTCAGCTTTTTTTTGCTCAATAAAACTTTGAACGATAGGTTTCATTCATGGACGGCAAATTTTTTCCATTTTTAAATGTTTTTTATTAATTTTCAGATCCGGATGTTAAATCCACTTATTATATTTTTGTTTTGTTTTTCTATGGCACAAATGCTCAGCAAAGGTGAAATTGTTGTGAAATTGTTCTTTAATTTAATTTTTGAATGTATTAATTAACCGGCGGAATAAGCAAATGGTGATCGCTTAATTATAGGAGCAGTATATTTATGGATTTATTGGTGCTTGTTTGCCTTCCCTTCCAAAGTTTTAATTTAAAATAGCGACAATATTAATTGTTTAGAAGCGGATATTCCAAGAATTTTTTATCAGTTGAAGTGGATAGCAAGTGTTTTCGATGGGTTCTTCAGTTCATCTTCTGCATTTTTAATATGTTTGTTTCAGGATTTAGAAGGGAAAATTGGATGCAGTCAAAGATATTTGGATCGAATATATTGAATTTATTTAAGACTGATTCGCACATTTCTATTTTTCATTCGTTAATAGTTCAAGAAAATTTTATTCATCGGTGGAGCCGTTTTCTTCGATGGCAGGAACTGGAAAAGGAGCAAAAGGAATATTTAGAAGAAGAATCTATCATAAAAGGTCAAATGTACATGGAAACTGGATTGTTCCTTTCACCTGAAAAGCGTGAAGATGGTATTTCTCTATTGAATGTTCTTCAATTTTCATTAATTTTCATTAACAAATTCATTATTTTTAAAATTTCAGTTTTTCGTGAAAATATCAATATCAAAAAAGCCTGTATATATATATTGTTTCCATGCTTTTATATCTAATAAATATTTTTCAGTTTTACCTAAAAAAGACAAAGAAGATCAAACTCGAAAAGATTCTCAAATAGTACCTATTGAAGCACAAGCATTTTTTACTCAAATGCGTTATCTTGACCACAGTTTTGATAATTTACGCCGCTATAAACGATACAAAAAATTCCAACTACTGCAGTATGATCAAAGGTATCACTTCTTGCTAGATTCTTATCGTTAACAAAAAACATCGAGGAAGTTAAAATATTTCTTTTCTTATTATCAGAATCAATTTAAAAAGTTATTGGAATTATTGCTCACTTAAATTTAAAATGAATTATCATATTATAATAATATAATAATAGTTGTTCTTTTCATTTAATCTGTTGATTTGGAAAGAAATGCAAAAACTTACTTTGAATTTGTTTAAATTTGTTTTAATAGATGTAAGAATTTAGATTTATTCCTGAAAGACAATTGTTTCTTGGTCCGGATCTCGCAGCCGCACATTTTCTGGTTCACCGAGGTGCTGCTATTAAATTTATTGGAGATAATATATGGATTAAAAGGAATAAATTTGGGCAATATGATTTACCTGGAAGGAAAGTGCCAGGTCTCTATCTTGAAGCAATAGATGCCAGTGATACTGAACTCATGTTTGAAGGTATTTTACCTTTTTTTAAATTTAAATGCGAGGTTTTGTAGAAAATATGTGAATTTTATTGTAATAAAATGAATTTTGTGAATATAGAATCAATTTAAATAAAAGTTTTTTCATCCTTTTTAAATTTTATTTTCTTCAATTCGCTTCATTGATCAATCTCTTTATTTTCATTCATTTCACAGCTTTTTTATAGGCTTTGAAAATTTAAATGATTTACGTCATGTTCGCTTAATTCGATTAGCTGGTTGCAAATACGCAGATGATTGGATGATGAGCCGCCTTGGTACCATGTTCTCTAATTCATTAGAATTGCTTGATCTTAGTGATTGTGATCGTATAAGTGCCAAAGGTCTTGCTGGGCTTCGTTCATTAAAAAAGTTGCGATATCTACGGTTGGAAGGAATGGATCACATCAAAGTTTGTTAAGATAACTTGTGATTTTGAATGTTAATTGCAGTTAGTCTACATCTAATTTTACTTTGCATTAAAATGTGAAAAATATTAAAATTTCTACAGCACCATTTGCTTTATTTTTCAGTTATTGATTACTGATTTATATTAATTATGACATAAATTAAATGAAATGAGTATTACTATTAATTGTTGCATTAAAGGATATTGCAAAAGTTGTGCTTATTCTTGAGAAATCTATTTCTGGATTAAAAGTTATTGGGCTCGATTATGACAAGGCTTTAAAAACCCTTCAAAATGAATTTAAATTGCTCGAAAATGATCGTGTTGTCATTGATGCTAAAGGTTTGTTCTGGTTTTATTTTATTTCTGGTATAATTTAATCATATCTTTCTAATTTCTTCTGCTTATCTTTGCAAATTTTTTTTTAAACTTCTGTTATGTTTTAATAGCATATTTTATTTTCTTCCAAATGTTTTAAAGTAATTTTTTTTTAAATTTTAGTTTCAGTTACGTTGTTCTCTTGTCGTTCAGTTGTTTTTTATACAATTTTATTTATTTATATTTGGTCTAATCACTTTTACTTTAATTTTTCTCTTATTTCATTCCATTTTAACAATGCATTTAAAAAAATTTTACTACTTAGGAAATGTTCACATAGAAGATGATAATGGACGCTTATTCTATGTTGCTGGGCGGGTAAATGAACGTGCTGTGGTTTGTGATGAGGATAAACCGATTATGACTAGGTTGATTGAATTGAAATTTAATTTCTCTTTATTTTGTTCACTTATTATTTTTCAAGAGAATTCTCATCATTTTTCATTACGTTGGTTCCGCTAGCTTTATAGAACTGAGATGGTATTTGCTAGGGAGTTACATAGGTTTTCAGTGCCATCCAGATTTTGGGAAGCTTAGAAATAGTATTTAACTCATGCAGGAAAGAGAACTCTAATATGTGCTCTAGAAAACAAAAATTAAACCATTCATTTCTGTTAAAATTTTTGCTTTATTTTAATTTTATTTAATTAAGTACTATTCGGCGGGAAGTACCAGAAATGAGTGACGCTGAATTTAACCGATTGGATGCTCTCAGTGGTGGTAAATTGCGACACTTATTGGTCGGTTCTCCCAGTGGGTATTCTTGGACAGAACAGGTTTTTATTTTTTTTTTGCATTAAGATTTTGAAATTTTCCCTAAAATTTCGATATTTTTTAATTTTATGCGGAAAACGATATGGTTTTCATTTTTGGAGATTTAATTTATTAATTTTCGTGTTACTCTTGTATAAATGTGATTTGTGAATGTATAAATATGAATGCTTTTTTCATTGTTTATTTCTAGAAATTAATCGAAACCATCGTATTTAGGTTGAAATAATTCTTAGCCATGAGGATTGGTGGAATAGAAAGCAGGGAATTCCTACCGATCCAAAGCTTTTACCTAAATCGTCGAGACCACTTCTCGTAGATGAAAACGATTCGCAAAAAATTATCTCGAAATGTGATCCACCGAAATTAGGAGCAAATGATCCTGTTTAGTTTACAGTATAATATTTACTACAATTTCACAATAATATTAGTACAGAATTCATACGTTATTCAAAATTTTAAATTCGTGTTACGACAATAATAATAAATTTGTTCATATGTTACGAAATATCTATATACTGCTTTCATATTTTTGCTTTACCTGGCAGTTTTGCCAGAATTGCATTTTGATTTCCTATAGTTTTTTTTTTTTTTTCTCCAAGACGCTCATTATTTGTTCTGGTATATATCTGGTATCATAATAATCATAATAATAATAATGTAATAATAATAATAATTATCTTCACTCGTTTTACTGCCTTGTAGGACCAGTCAAATTTTGCATTTGGTAATAGAAGAGCACGATCTATTACAACCTGGATTTTTGAAATATAGATTTAATTCTATCGAGAATAGAGCTCCAGTACTGATACTTCGCAGAATATTTTGCTATTCTACTCCTTTTTCTTTATATCTGTGCCTTATAATTTAGAATTCTTTTCCAAAATTTAAATTCTTTTTATTAAATCTACATAATTCGAAATTCATATTTGCAAGGCTTTTTAAATTATTTCATTGCAAAAAGCCAGCTTATTTTTTGCTTCACTTTATGATCATTTCTTTATCAGTGGAAGTGGTCTATCGTTGGTATTTAAACCATTCATGATGAGTAACATTGTATAAGGCAGATTAAACAAAATATTCCGTGTATCGACATCTTGCTTCTTAAAAATTATGTTTATCAGTCGAGTAAAACCCGTATATTGCTTATATGACAGCAATATTTTTTACAAAGGAATAATCGAAATTATTTATATTCGATATTGAGTAATATTCCATTTTCTAAGGAATATCCAACAATATTATTAATCGTTCAATTTTTTATTTTTATTTTAATTGCACTTTATGAATCCGACCGTGCAAATTAAATTTTTCATCGAAAAGTTTTGCTTAAAACTTTGATTGTTTATAAATAATATTGTAATAAATAAGTAATAAGTATTACAAAATACAGTTTAAAACTCGGAGAAGTCGGATTCATAATTACAAATATTGCATATTTGAGGTAATAAACCATTTGATTTCGAGCTATCTTTTTATTCTCTCCTATCGTAATAATAATAATAATTATTATTTATTATTATTATTATTATTATTATTATTATTATTATTATTATTATTATTATTAATCCCGACATTAAGGTCTCTTTAAAATCAGGATGAGAAGTTTCCCAATTCTAGCATAAACCACATGTTTCAGCACACAAATCTTTTTTCGTGTCGCATTCATCAAATATCACAACAATTTTGCATGTTAGATAGCTCGCTGTGTCGGCGCAACTTGTTATTACTGGTTTGAGATTTTTAAAAGGCGATGCTGGACCTGGACATAGTGAGCATGATCGAGGACATAATATCTTCATTGAAGTACTTTGAAAAGCATCGTGGCAAAAGCCTCGTTTCGACCACATTGGACATGACGGATTTAAATCTTTGCATTCTGAAAATTTTTTAAAATTATCAAGAGATGTTGTCACTCATTCATTTAATCAGTATTCTGTCGCGTCTTTTTTTGAAATAATCTACGACTTATTTCTTATTCAAAATGAAATTCAATTAAAATTCAACAATGGAGTTGTAATAATGGAGGAAACAAATGTTAGTATGGTACATTAAGGTCTAATTTAGGTTTGATTTCTGTTTCTTGACGAAAATAAATTTGCGTAAAATTCTGGTGGTCATTGAATCCATTTGTTCTTTACCGGTGCAACGCTTACCCTAATAGTCTGTGGGATCTGCCAAATGGGATTTAAAAAAAGATGCGAATAGATTTATTTTCAACTGTACGTTGTCGACTTATCAGGCAATGGCAACGAAAGCCATATTCCCTTAAAAGTCTTTAAAAAAGTTCAGTTCCACTTTTCCGTCTGCCATAATAGACTAATATAATTCCTATAAAATAAGAAATTGTCCAAGCGATAAAGCGAACGATAATAATTTAAATTTAAATAAAGTAACAATAGAAAAGAAAAAACTAAGGTAATGAATCTATTTTATTAATAATAAAATATAAAATATAAAATATAATAATAAAATATCGGACAAATAAAAAACCATTAGTTTTATTTTCTTCTATTTCAACAAGTTTTGAATCGCAATTCCCGCATGATTTTCTGCACTCGACTTGAGCAATTTGTTTCGATCGTTCACAATAACTAAATATCGACATTGACCAAAATACACAGCGCCAATGAGTATCTTCACATTTTTCTGTTGGTTTTGCCTAAAATATTGGTAAATAAGGCTATCCATCTTCTTCTAATAGCTCTACCATTGCTGGTTTGGCAGGCTGCGCTGGCTATAAGGATAAGGATAGGGTAGGATATTCTGTTGGTTCCCAAGCTGCGCGATTCCATCGTTGAAACCATTCCTTTTCCATCGTTTAAGTCTATATATTACTGGTCCACCTATAGGTTCAAAAACTTTTCTGATTGTATCAGTCCAGATCTTGATTGCCTTCCTCGTTTTTGACGCCATTCATCACAGAGTTTTGTAAGTAACGAAATATGTATCAATTCATGTGGTGAGCGACGAAGAATGTGCCATAACCAGCAAAGGTGATGATGTGATGGTAATTCGGATGGTTAATTCAAAATGGTATTTGAGCAAAAACGAATGGAATCATATAAGATTTTATATACTTTAGATTTTATGCGAATCAGTAAAATATGTCAAAGGACTTTTCAATATCCTCCATTCTCATTAGCTATACCTCGCAGCCATATAGCAGGATCGAGTGAATATAGATGCGAACATTCGTTTTTTATGGTGATTTTGGCTAGAGGTTCCGGGTTCGATCCCCGGCTCAGCCCGTCCGTTTTGTATTTGTCTGTTAAGATTTCGCTAACCGAAAGAAGGCATTTCTAGCTACCGTCATTCGGGCTGTAATTTTGTCCTTCTTCTGACTATTTGGAACCAGAGTGCATCTAAGATATTTAAAGTCGCTTCCTTAACCGGCAATGAGTTGATAAAAATAGGTATTTTATCAACTTCTTGAAACACTTTCGGTCGTTTATCTGCTTCTACTCAATTAGAGCGGATCGAGCTTTTTCAGACAAGGCAATCACTATTTCGTACGCAGTCATTCGAATCAACGTAATGATATAGCCAATTCTTCTCGGAGCCAGGTGCAGGTTTACTAAATGCGCAAGAGCCGAAGTGAGGATAACGAGCCTTCCAACAAGCGACTTTATCGTTTGGCTTATAACGTCCATAAGCGTCTTGGCGTTTTACGTTGCTATGGTTAACACCTCGCTGCGCGTGCATAGAGCCATTTTCTTGAAGGTTTCAAGCGGTTATCCTTGCTCACGAACGGATCATATTTTCACGCCTTGAGATCGTTTGCAGATTGCTTATCGCATGTAGCACGAGGCTGGGAGTATCATAGGTGTCGGAAGTGCGGACGCTGTTTTAGGAATATTTGACCACAAAATTGAGGACATAATTATTAGTGAACCTCCAACTCTCCGGACTTTTACATCATGGCATGATATCCTGTCAAAGGTAAAGATAAAAAAATTTAGAGACAAAAAATAAACCGGAAAATGAAAGAAAAAAATTATTTAATATTTAATTATTTAATATATATATTTTTGTAATTTATATATAATATATAATTTATATAGTTTAACTGATTCGCTAGTCATTTTAATTTTAAAATTTTTAAAACTTCGCTGAATCATTATCGAAAAAAAATTATAAATATAAATTTCAAATTTCAAAAATTATTTATCATAAAATTATCATAAATTTCAAAAATTACTGGTTTGAAAGGTGTTGCGGTAGTTGTAATCGATGGAGTTTTATCGGAACACGAATATAGTTTATTGAGTTTTTTCATGTCGAGGGTTGAAAAACCCCTTCGTTGACCCATATCACCGGAACCTGGCTGAAAAAATCATTTTTATAAGTTCTAGTATCTAACTTATTTCTGAAAATCATCATTACTTTCACAATTTCTTTTTCTTTCAATTTCTTTTCATTTGCAACATTTTAAATATATTACCAATATTTTAAATAAAAAAATTACTTTAAGAGCGACGATTGTCCGTCTGCCATTGCCAGTAAATGCATAAGGTCCATAATGCATTATGGACGAATAATCATAATCTTCACCTAATAGATCCACAACATTCGTTCCATATTTTTCGAACTGATCTTCGGCTCCTTCCATTATATTTTCCCATATTATAGAGATATATTTATCTCGATCAGATCTTAAAGAATTAAATGAAAAAGTATGGCAAAATGGTAGAACTGTACATTGTTTTGACTATGGTCGAACCGTGGATTCGACTCCTGTACCTCAATGGTAATAAACGTGATATTAAATGAAACCTAGGTAGTGCTGGAGATGCGCTTGTAAATCTATATCCAAGAGGCTCAGCGAAAGAGTTTCTAATCACCAGTGAAGCCAGCCAAATTGTCTCACATTATTGCAGTCATCTTCGCTTGAATCATTTGCATTAAGAATACCGTCGCAAAATGTCGCCTGCGCTGGTTTGGTCCATGGTCGTCCACCACAGGAATTGACGCAATTTCGTTAAACCTTGTGATGGATGTGAAAACGAGGAGAACTAATCAAAAGCTGGATCGATATGGTTAAAAGAGATTTTGAGCACATAGGGTCCAGCGATAAACGAGCTTGGATTATGGAAAAATTAATAGTTTAAATTATGGAATGAATCGACAAACTTGGAAAAGTCCTACCCTAGCCGCCAGTGGAGCGAACCAAACCAACAATGGTGCTGTTGGAAGAAGCCAAATAAATAAATGGTGAGTATTGTTAGAAGAAAAAGAATCAAACTAAACATGCTGAATAGGTCAAGTAAAAAAGTGTGATTGAATTCCCAGCGAACTTTCAAATTCCTTAGCTTCCGGATAACGAATCTTTTTCTGCTGGTGACTCAAGCCAATTTATTAGTTTCGCAATATTTTTCAAGATACAATATTTTTAAGATTTTCAAACGCTAAAATCAATTTATCGTCAATTTTGCTAGTTTTTTTTTTTCTTGAAACCTTGTGATAATCTTTTATAATCCTTACTGAGATCGCAGAATGAATGCGAACTACATGCTTACATGATTATAATTGGAAGTAAAAATTATGAGTTAAGCATAATGGTCAAATTATTAACCTGGACTGTTCATGAAAAAATCCAGTAACGTGCATTAATTCGTGCACAATGGTACCAGTCTGAATACATCCAGAATCGAGCGATAAAGGTTGACGACCACCACTCTTTCCAACTAAAGAATAACAACCATCATCTGGATATATATAAATATAATTTCGATGCCGCAGTGGATCTCGAGGTACAAATCTGAGGCAAGTTTTTTTGTGATATTCTTGCATAGCATTAGCTATAATTGATCGAGAATAAGGTCCGTACTGTGTACTTATAGCATATGGTATTTCGCCGTCAGGCCAACGCCTGAAATGTTAAGATTTTAATCCAAAAAAATTTGTCTTTTATAATATAAAATTTTATAAAATTCTTGACTTCCTTTTTCTTTTGATGCAAAATTAACATTGAAAATTAATAAATAAAAAAATTAAAGTGTAAAGAAATATATTGTACAAGAGTAGCTTTTGCTCAGATTATCGTCCCTATCAAAATATCAATATCAAATCAAATATCAAAATTCTGATCTTCTTTCGGATGCTCTTTTAGTCTTTAAAAACAGGCTGGCAAGCCGCCTATATCACCAAGTGCTGATCAGCTGCCGAAAATTTTTCACCGGTTGAGCGAACAAACCAGAAATAGTGAATGTTACCACTTACTTTATTATTATTCAAAAGAAATAAAGAAAAAAAAGCAAAATACTACAATTAAGCCAATTTTTTCCGATGATTTTCGCCGTTACTCGTCTGTTTTCATCGTTAGAGAAATAAGTAAACAATAATATTAAATCAGAAGATAACCGAAATGATTGTCGTACCGCTCCTCTTCGAAATCGACTACTAAAAGCATCCACAGCTATATCGCCTTCAATTTTATTCCCCAATGTCGGATCCGGCTTAACATTTATACCCAAACTTTTCAAATCGATTTCTCGCTTTGGGACATTCGCAAAATCGACTGGTGATAAAGACGTCTCACTGTCTTTTTTACTTTTATCGACTACCTTAAACCTTATCATTATGAATGAATGAGACAAACTATAAGTCTGCACTGCTGCAGTAAACTTTGAAAATTTCTTGTAATTTATCGCCTGAACGGAATAAGACAACGGATGTCGGAAAGAGATATTCCGAAATAATGGCTACTTCGGCGCTAATATTCTTAAGCTTAGAGGAGAAATCTATGAAAATGAATGTAAAACTAAAAACAATTCATTGAATATTACTCGCTTTTTGATTATTTGATTATTTTCATTTTAATATTTTGCATAATATTATTTTTATTATTTTAATTTGCCACATTTGCGAATTTTTTAAATTTTTTCTATTTTTGACAAAAAGAAAACAACTAACATCGGTTATCGTGATTGAAGCATCTATTTTAACGAAAAAAGGAAGCAATAACAAAAAAATTCCGAAAAGTTTTTGGTTCATATTCGAGATATTCGAATAAAATAAGTTATACGAAAGGATGAAAGAATCGAGCTGTCTGAAAATCTGAAAATTTTCTTTTTTAATGCTATCGAAGTACTATTTAAACGAGTTTGAATGGTACTGGGGACTTCTAAACTTCCTTCTCCATGTGACTCTGACGAAATTCTCATCCTGGACGATACAGGCAGTTGAAGAAGCCTAACAGCACTTATTTAACGAATTTATTTTTATTTCTTTCTTGCTGTTCGCATGCACTTTCACATGGTCCTTTTTTATTCTATTAAGCCAGCGATTTTTGTCAAAATTACTTCTAAAAGAGCATTTTTAATCCTGTTCCAAGAGGGTTTTGTACAGTCTTCGTTTCAACGAATTCCAAAACGAATTGGTTCCCTTTCATCCATTTTTATTAGATTCTGCTATATGGAAGATATAAAATTTAAAAAATATAAAATTTTTTCTACTACTGCAGATGATTACCGTCAATTTTTAATTATGATTTTTATTTTATTTTACATGCAGTATTATATTGATGACGAAATTTTATGACCAACTAGATATAAATTATTTAATCATTTTTTGTTCCGTATAACTGGATTTGAAGAAATGGAAGAAAATTTATTTTTAAAAATGAATAAAAACAAGTTTGGAATTCCGATGAATGGATGGCAACAGTAGACTCTCCTAACGAACTGCGCTGTTCCATAATAAATTGGAACAAAATTTTCCGATTCAGGCCTAAAGCATTTTATTACATTCGGATTAAACTCTCGAATGTAAACAAACATATAATGGAATGCTCGAAATAAAGGATTATACATGCTATTACGTGTAGAGAAACGAGTTATCTCTATGTTTTAGTTATTTTAATTTATTATCCATTTTAATCTTTTGTTTGTTATTGTTATTCTTTTCACATTAACTAATGCTGATAATAATAATGATAATAACAGTAATGATAATAATAATAAATATAATGATAATAATGTAACAGATAATAATGATGATAAATAATATCATCTCATACAATGAATTAAAATATATTTTAAAATACATTTGTAAGTTTAATATTATTATCAACATTTTGTTTTGCATAAAACAAAATATTTTTTACGGCCATTCATTAAATATTTTAAATTTGATAAGCACTGAACTAAAAAAATAATGTCAAAACAAAAATCATTAAAGAGGCTTACGAAAAAATAAAATTGTGGCAGAAACTTTAGTATTGATTAATTATGCCCTAAGTTAATACTGTAACTATAAGCTATTGTATGGTACCAATATAATAACATACGTGCCAGTACAGCAGCATTTTAACGTTTTTTGTTTGATGATAAAAGAAAATAAAAGAAGAAAAGTTGAAAATGAAACGAATTACATTAAATATTAATGCATTTTCTTTTTAGTAAATTTTCAGTTCCTTAAATGCATTGAACTGAAAATTTACTAAAATTTACTGAAGATTAACTGAAAACTGAAATGCATTGAAAGTTAAAAAAATTGAGTGTCATTATTAAAATCAAAAATCCTTATTCTATTGATCTAAGCATTCACTATGTCTGTACTCATTTAATTGACCAATAAATTTAAGGTTCTCTAGCCAGAGAGTCAATAGGAGATAAAAGTGCAGGTGGATGCCCAGATTTTCCTTTTGATGACAGGTTCCTCCGTTAAGAAAGCGGTAATTGGGCTTTTGACTGGTCGAAGTAACCACACACCACACAAATGTTAAGGTGATATTTTACGATAATTTCGAGAGATAATTTCAAGAAGACAGTTCTAAAATTAGAAAAAATATTCTCCTCGGAATTATTCAGAATTGTCGTGTAAGATAAGAATTTTTAAGAATTTCTATGTGGACTTTTTCATTTGTTTGGCTGTAAATATATTGGCACAATTCAAAGCATTTCATTACAATGCAGCATTATGACGCCCTCATATTCATCAGTTATTCCCGTGATGACTAATTTCTTCTTCCCATAAATGCTGGCTATAATCACCCATCGCCATTCTGCCGTATTCATAGATTTTTAATCTGTTAAAAAATCAAATATCAACAAAGTTCATGTGAATGATTTCGGTTATAAATGCGAGAAATATTTTTCATACCTTTTTTGCACGATTTTGACCAAATTCAAATTCAAAATATGAGTAAAATAGATGATTTAATTAATTATGAAAGTCGAATTTTAAGACGAATTTTAAACCTGTAAAGTTTTTGTCCCATAAAATGTGCCTATGAAATATAAATCCAAAACACAAAACATATTCATGAAAAATAACCATAGTTGTCCCCCAAAAATTGAATAAAAAAACAAAAAATAGGAATAACTAGAAGAAAAATGAAAAATGATAGAAGATAACTGAAATGGCTGAAGTAAGTTAGATCTTACATTTTGCTTCAAAAAAAGATGGGACGACTCATAAGAGACTCATCTTTCCTAAATCATTTCTCAGTAAAGCAAAAAAACTTATAAGGGAGAAGGACATCCGAGAAACCTTCTTCGCAAATACCTCTAGGCATTTTGGCTTTTAAAATGATAATTAAGGTGGGAAAAATAATTATTTTTTTGAGCGAATAATTATCTTTTTTATCCGCAAATCATTGAATTGATCGCTAAGTAGTTTTTATGAAAGGTTTTTAAATACAAAATTTTATAACGCGCATGCCATACATAGGAACTGCACTGCTTGTCCGAGGTTAAGGTTTAATGATGGGCTCGACCCTTAAACCCTGAAAGCCTATTAAAAACAAAGATGGTGTTGGAGATTTATGTGCTTCTCAGTTGACTCCCTGGTATATGGGTGAGCAGTGAATGGAACTAGTCAGAAATGGTAGGTTTTGTTAAAAGAAGGTGTAGTCCCACAGATGCAATTTATGTTCTTAATTTTTTGCTTCCCTTCTGCTCCAACTTCATTTAATTCTGTATCAGCTTGAAATAGAAATGAAATGATTTTGCAGTTAAAAAATATTTTACAAGAGTTTTGCAAGGAAAAAAAGTGGCGAAATTAAGCTGAAAATGCTAGAATTAAAGTTTTCGTGAAACTTCGAAGAAAAACTTTGTTTTTAATTTATTTCTTCGACGGAATTGACACAAATATCGGTTCGACTTCTTATTAATTAATAATTAATAAGTGCTATTTTTACTATTTATTGTAGGCGTAAGCCATTCGCATTTCTATCACCAAATGGGTTAATCTTTGGCAAAATTTGCCTTGCACGACTGGCAACGGAGCAATCCTAATGCTGTGCTCCTATGAAAAAAAGTTTACTAATTTTAATTATAAACCGTTACTAGTCGGTGCATCTAAAGACTATTAGACATTACTAATCGTGATTTCAGCAGAATACGAGCCATTTTTGATTCGGCTGTCTCGCTGGTTGTTAGGAAGAAGGAACTATTCTTGAACCTATTTGAGGAAGAGGAGCGGAGATTCACAGCACAAGCTCGATTTCTTTTTTAATCACTGGCTTGTTTAAGCCATGGAGGCGATGCTCGAGCATACTTCTGTACGCTCACCGAAGCCCTTTATCCATTCGGTTTCAAATGCATATGAGAATTCCAAAAACGCAAACTTCTTATCTACTCGACTGAGATTTGCATTAACAAATGGCACCAATGTGCAAAGAATGATCCTCCACTAATCTTTTAAATTTCGTTTCCTTTATTCCGCTTAACCATGTAAAATCAGTGATTTTTTTGCTATATGCATACATAGATATATATTTGAAATATATATTTGTTTTCAGCCTTTCTCGGCGTTTCACGCTGCGATTTTGATTGATCAGCGAGCGAGTGGAATGCCTCCAAATATTTTTCGCTATCGCTAGCGGCTCAACGAAGTTTCAAAGCTATTTGTCCTTCAAATAAGAAAATTTAATATGGACGAATATGCAAATAAGAGAGAAAAATAAAATTGGAAAAGTGTTTAAAAAACAATGATTTGATCAATTATTTCGCCTACTTTGATGAGTCACTGAAATATTTGAAAAATTCTGTGGTATTGGGAGATATTTTTTAGCCGGGCAAAAAATGGGCAAAAAATGGGCAAAAAATGGGCTTTTTATATTTCATATTATGGCTGAATACCGCCTTTTCAAGCGCCTCAGCCCTTGCCCCGGGGCAATCGAACGTGACGCTTGCGAGGGGCCACTTTCTCGCAGCTGTCCTCGGCTCTCTAGCGCAGTTATACCAGTTGAGAGGTGAAGTGTTGGTTGTTGATTGCTAACTAATTACTTCTTCGCTGTAAATTTACATGCTCTGTAAAATTTCTCGAAAAGAAATTCAAGAGTTTCATTGAAAATTTCTGAAAGGCTTTTCTTCACGAATTAGTTCCAAACTATTTATTTTGCGATACCTTACTAAATATTTTCTACTTTATTTCGTGAAATGAATTCGTATTGCACGTTTCAGTGGGAACTGAACAAGTTTCGAAACATCATTGAAGTTAGTCACGAGCGCTTATTTCGTCGAGGACGTTGAAGCAGATAATCTTCACTATTTGCACAATTTATAATTTTCTTCCTTTCTCAAGCAGTTAATGCATATTTTATTGGCCATAATTACTCAGTCAAACTTACCATTCACTTCGAACAATTCTCAAAATAATCCACAATTAATGATTTCTCTCAAT